TCCTCCTCCTCCTCCTCCTCCTCCTCCTCCTCCTCCTCCTCCTCCTCCCCCTCCTCCTCCTCCTCCTCCTCCTCCATCTCCTCCTCCTCCTCCTCCTCCTTCTGGTCACAGGCGTGCAGCAAGGAACAAAAACGGGCCAGTGCCATCCGAGGGGGCAGGTCCGGGGGGTGCAGCCCGCTTCGGCACGGTGGCCTCGTCTGCTGGGGGGTCTCCGGCGGCATCTCGCTCCTCGAGGGGGGGCAGTGTGGGAGGGAGGTAAGAAGCAAGGAGAGGGAGGAAATGAGCGCGGGGAGTGAGGGGGCCTGAAGGGATGAAAGGAAAGGGCTGAGTCAAAGGCAAAAGCGGGGGAATGAGAGCGAGACTTGATTGGATCACGGGGAGTTTGGGAGCGCGTCCCTCTCCGAACAGCATGCCAGTGCAACGTACCAAGTGTGGTTGAAGTTGTTTTTTGTAGTAGTAGCGGTCATAGCAGTGCCCTTCAATGTTATGCGCTAGCAGGTGCTAGTGATGATGCGTCTGCAATATGTTTAGCACTTCTTGATTGGCATGTCGAAGAAACCCGACTGCCATGATTACGCCCTGTCGGGGAGGGCCTCGACATCCATTGATCAATACCTCTGCGCGCCCCCCTCTGAAAGATGTCACAAGGCCATGATGAGGCCCTCGATGAAGGCCTCGGCATCTCCGTCATTCGCTGCCCTGAAGGATTATAAAATCATGTTCAAGCAATTGTACACCAGTGGGCACGAGAATTCTGCCCGCGCCGTCGTTTCGGTCTCGTTCCTCTTCTGCTGGTTTCAGCAGACGTATTGACTAGCCACTGGGGGACAGCGGTGGCAACTGCACAATCCCACCAGCCCTCTGGGCGTCAGTGGTTTTGCGAGCTTCCTATTCCAATCCTCTTTCTTCCCATCTGCGGAAGGCTCATTACTGCTTCCTGTCAATAAGCGCCCCCTCCCCCACACGACTGGCAGCGACCCGGACCCATGACGACCCCCTCCCACCACCCCTGTCAAAACACACTACAAACTACGCTTTGCCTCCAAATCTGGAGTGCACGCGGGCGCCCCACGACCACTTCGCAGTAGTTTTTGACAGGGACGGCGGGGGGGCCCTAATATTGCTAGCTGCGCGCGGTCCAAGCATCCCTGCCAAGCAACTCTGCTAAATACGCCTTGCCTCAAATCTGGAGCCTGCGCGGGGGCCCCGCGTCCACGTTGCATTGATTTTTAGCAGGGGCGGCGGGGGGGGGGGCCTGGTGTTGTTTGCTGCGAGCAGGCCAACCATCCCTCACAAAAGCAAGACGATTTACACCGTGCGTCCACATGTGGAGCGTACGCGGGCGCCCCGCGACCACCTTGCATCCGTTTTTGGCATGAACGGCGGGGGTGCCCCGATATTGCCTGCTGCGCGCAGGCCAACCATCCTTTTTCAAAGCACCACGAAAAATGCTGCATGCCTCCAAATCTGGAGCATGCGCTGGCGTCCCGCGACCACTTTGCATTGTGATTTGCAGGAGCACTCGGGTGCTGATAATTCGTTGGGAGGGCAGGTGGGGGTGAGCGAGACGGCTTGTGCCCTGTGGGCAGGGGGGGTCTTGATCACTTTTCTGTTATATGAACACTCTCTCCCCCCAGTGACCGTCAGCCAACCCGAACCAATGATAACCTCCCCCTACCATCCCAATCGAAAGCAATACATGTACACTGAAGGGCAAATTCTTGGGTCATGCTCGCGGGGCCCGCGAGCACTTTGTATTGTTTGGTTGACACGAGCGGCGGAGGGGGGCCTCATAGTGCCTGCTGTTCGCAGGGCCACCATCCATGTCAAAAACAATGTAAGATGCTCTTCGCGGCTAGATCTGGATCATGCGCGGCCACCCCGCGATCACTGTCCGTTTGTGTTTGACACGGGCGGCGGGGGTGCTGGCATGTTGCCTGCTGTGTGCAGGCCCACTAGACATCATGATGGCCCCCCCCCCCCCGCCGCGACTGCGCATTAGCGTTCGACAAGGGTGGTGGGGCCGATATGTTTCCCAATGTGTGCGGCCACGTGCGCGGACGCACCTGGCACACTGTGCGCGTGCCCCGAGCGCGGCTGGAGCATGCGGCACACATGGCGCATCTGGCGCGCCAAGCGTGCCTGGCACGCTTGGGCCCCACGGGTGCCTGGCGCGCCTGGCGCGCGTGGCGCGCCTGGCACGCGTGGCGCACCTCGCCCCAGCGTCGCGCACATGGGGTCTGTGTTGGTTCTTAGTAGCTGCCCATCCACAGACGACCGGAGAAAATGCTGAGGCTCGAGTGCTGCTCATGCGTTGGGGGGGCTGGGTGGGAGTGAGCGAGACAGCTTGCGGGCGGGGAGGGTGTCTTGATCCCTTCCCAGACCCCCTCCCCTGGACCTGGACGGGAGGGTTCGCGACCCACTGGATGGGGGGAGGGGAGGGGACACGGGGAGGGGCGCGAGTGGGAAGGGGGGTGCATGAGATGCAGGATGCCTGGCTCTGAGGAGGCCAGAGGAAGGCCGCGCCTGTGCCACGGCAGGCGAACTCGGGCGAAGCAGTCCGCGCGCGGGGCGCGGCTCAGCAGCAATCCACCCGTGGCGGTCTCGCGCGGAGCGGGAGGGGCCGAGGGAGGATGGGGCCGAGCGCGCGCGGGAGAGGGACGGGGGAGCGGCGCGGCGGGGCGAGGGGAGAGGGACGCGAGGGAGCAGAGGGAGGGGGAGGGGGGGGGGGGGCTTTTTGCTGACTCGAGTAGGCTCGTGGGGGGGAGGGGGGGAGGAGCAGAGGGGGGGGAAAGCGCGAGGGGAGGGGGGGGGGGGCGGCGGGGGGGAACGGGGGGAAGCCGAAGGGGGACGGCGGGGCACGGGGGGGAGGCACAAAGGGGGGGGGGAGGGGAGAAGCGCGCTCCCAGGCCATAGGGACGGGGCGGAGGAGCCTCGAAGTCGGGCCTGTGCCCCCTACACAAGGGGGGATCTTGGGCCGAAACATTAAAACAAAAGACCCCACGAAGGCACCCAAAGGGCCCAAACATGCTCCCAGACTTGCCCCTGGACTATCTTTTTGGGGCCCATGTTGGAATCTCCCCCCTGCAGAGGGACAGGCCCGACTTCAGAGAAGCCTCCCCCCTATACACGGGGATTTTGGGCCGAGCAATTAAAACAAATACCCCGCACAGGCACCAAAAGGGCCCAAACATGCTCCCAAACTTGCCCCCATGACTGTTTCCTTTTTTGGGGGGGGGGATTTTTGAATATCCCCCCCCTGTAGAGGGAGAGGCCCGACCTCAGAGAAGCCTTCCCTCCCCCCCTGCCAGGGGCCGCAGGGCTCCCTCTCGCGGCCGGCAGCCGCGCGCTCTGGCTGCCGTCCGGGTAGCTGCCGGCGCCGGGCGGGGCCTGCCGCGGGGCGGGGGCGCGCCCGGGCGGCTGCTCCCTCTGGTCCTGAGAGGCCCTCCCTCGGCCCGCGGCCTCTGCCGCCCTGCTTCCCTCCCTCCCTCTCTCCCTCCCTCCCCTCTCGCCTTCCCTGGCTGCTTGGTGTGTGCTATCTGTCGCCCCCTCCCTCGCTCTCTCTCTCTCTCTCTCTCTCGCGTCCTTCCCTCCTGCCTTGCCCTTCCCCCCCGCCCCCTCTCGTGCTCTGTCTCTGCAACTTCTCTCCGTCCGTGCTCTCCCTCTGCTGGCGTCTCTTCCTCTCTCTCTCTCTCTCGTCCTTCTCCCTCCCACTCTCTCTCCCTCGCTTTCTCTCTTTCTCTCTCTGTCTGTCTCCCGTTCACCCCGCTGCGTCTCTGCATCTCTGTGTCTCTCTCGCTCTCTTTCTCTCTCTCTCTCTCTCTCGCTTTGTCCAACCATCCATCCCCCCTTTCTCCACCATAGCCTTTGCCCGATCTACGTCGCTCCGCCTGTCCTCTCCTCGAGCCGAATGAGCCATTATCTTTGGATGTGCACGTGAATTTGCATGTGCTTTCAATCACGGAACCGCAACACGATGAAGCAAACCTGAAACCCCTGAACCTGCCTCCTGCCACGTGCAGCCGAGAGAGCGCGACACGGAACAGGGAGGGGGAGGTCGGGGACCACGACGAGGCATGGGGTGGGCCAGGGACGCGTTCCGAGGCCTGCCGCGGGCTGGCTGGGGATCCCCTAAGAGGGCCAGATGGCACCGGTGAGGCTTGTGGAGAATGGGGAGGGCAGGGCATCACACCTCCTAGATCACACGGCCTCCCGATGCCTGCCGCAGCCTGGCGGAGGCCATCCTCGGCGCGGTCTGGCGGGGCCTACGACGCTCAGCCTGGCTCGGTGCGGTCTGGCGGGGCCTCCTCGACGCGGTTCGGCGACCTTCTGGTCGCTAGTACTTGCACGCTCAGCTTCCGGCCACCTGTGCCGGTAGAATCGGACAGGGCGGAATTCCATCGAGCTCGTCTGCCCTTGTTGTTTTTGTTGTTTGGGGTGTAAGGCCGTGCTTCGCACCGACATCTTGCCTCATCTACACACCTGTCGGGCCTACGACGAGGTGGAGAATGACAAGGAATGAGGACAAACAAATCGGATGTTCTGGGGAAGCCAGCCTCACCGATGCCATCTGGCCCCCCAAGGAGGCCCCACCAGACCGCGGCAGGCATCGGAACGCCGTGCAAGTGTTGAGGTTTCGTGCCCTCCCCACTCCACCAGCCTCACTAGCGCCATCTGCAAGCGTCGGAACACCGTGATACTTATCAAGCTCCACGCCCTCCCCACTCCACCCGACCAGCCTCGCAGGTGCCGCCTGACCCTCCAGGGACACCTCGCCAGACCGCGACGATCATCGGAACATCGTAGTCTTTATGAGGTGTCGTGTCCTCACCACGCCACAAGCCTCACCAGTGCCACCGTGGCACTCCAGGGGGGCCCCGCCAGACGGCGGCAGGCATCGGAACACCGTGTTGTGCATGAGGTGCTGTGCCCTCCCCACTCCTCCGGCCCCGCCGGTGCCATCTGGCACTCCAAAGGGGCCCCGCCGATCCGCGGCAGGCATCGGAACACCGTGTTGTTCATCGAGCGTCGTGCCCTTCCTGAGCTGCATCCCCCTCGAAATCCAACGAAACTTCTTCCCGCGACGCGGCGGCGCCCCAGGACCCCAAGGCTTCGATGTTGCCGCCGGTGTTGGCGACTGCACGCACAACAATCTGACCCCGTGGGCCGCGCCTCGCGCGCCGACCAACTTTGAAAAATTGCGTTTGATCTCGAGGAGGAGGAGGAGGAGAAGGAGGGGAGGAGGAGGAGGAGGGGGAGGAGGAGGAGGAGGAGGAGGCGGAGGAGGAGGACAGCCTCTCACCGGGGCCGTCTGGCCTTCCAGGGAGGCCCCGCGCCAGAGACCGCGGCAGGCATAGAAAAATTGTGTGCCCTTTCCCTGGCCATTGCTCGGACGTCCATTCCATTTCCTGTTTTTTTTTTGTCGGTTTCGTGCGTGTTTTTTTCGCCAGATTATCAAGGATGCTCCTCGATGGTCCTCGCCGAAAGAAAAATGCACACGTCCGAGCGATGCCAAGTTCCATTCCGCGAGCCTCACTGGTGCCGTCTGGCCCTGCAGGGAAGCCGCGCGCCATACCGCAGCGCGGCAGACGTCGCGGAACACACTGCTAATCGTCAAGGGGCGTGCCCCCCCCCCGCCCCACCAGCCTCGCCACGGCCATCTGGCCCTCCAGGTAGGCCCAGCCAAACCGCCCCTCTTGCCTTCCCTCCTCCCTGTCCATGTTTCCAGTCTCTCCCTTCTAGAGAACGCTTCCCTGTCGCACCCCGAGGCGGGTCGAAAGTGGACGGGCTGGGCGTCTCGCCTGGGACTGTATGATTCTGATGCTTGAGCATTGAGAACGGTTTCAGAGATGGAGGGCGGGTCGTTTTCAAACTGCGGCTCTCGCATTAGCGCGACGCACATTCGTTTTATTGCAAAGGGCTTCACGGATTGACGGCGGGCCGTTTACAACATGTGACTTTCGCCTTAGCGCCGCGCACATTGGCTTTAAACCTTTGGACGAACAAACGGATTGAAAGCGGGTGATTAAAACATGTAGCTCCCGCCTAGCGCCGCGCGCATTCGTTGTAAAACATGGGAAAAGCTTCACGGATTGAGGGTGGGTCGTGTTCGAAATGTGGCAGTCGCCTTGGCGCCGCGCACACTCGTTGAAAACATTTGGACGAGCTTCACGGATTGATGGTTGCTCGTTCTCAAAATGCGTCCCTCGTCTTCGCGCCGCGCACATTTGTTTCCAACAATTGCAAGAATTTCACGGGTTCGTTTCCAACATGTGGCTCTCGCTGTAGCGCCGCGCGCATTTGCCCTGAACATATGCAACAATTTCACGGGTTGGAAATTGTTTCTTTTCAACATGTGGCTCTCGCTTGGGCGCCGCGCACTCTCGTTGTAAACATGTGCAAGAGCTTCGCTACTTAATATTATTGCTAACGTAACAGAACTGGTGTTTTGGACTGGTTCAGGATTGTCAAGACGCAACAGTTACGTTGATTCGCTGCGTTGAAGTCTCAGGAATCGTGTTTGAGTTCTGGCACGATTCAGGACCGCCAAGACGTAGCAGTCAGGTTAACCCGTGGCGTTGTAGTCCTGAGAATGGTGCTCTGGCACGCCTCAAGAGGTTCACGCGGTTGTCCCCCAACGGGGCAGTTCCTTGTGGAAGTTACCCCTTGTAGGGGCCTGTGAAGAGGGATCTTGGAAGGAGGGTGTATCTCAACATCGTTGATAAGTATTTGGCTTGCACTGGTACTAATCCTCCTTCTCCTCGGCCAGCCCTCCAGAGAGGCTCCGCCAGACCGGGGCAAGCATCGCAATACCTAGCTAGTAATCAGGTATCGTGCCCTTCCGTCTCCACCAACTTGAACATGGCCCTCCAGGGGATCTTCGCCTGACCGCGGCAGACGCCCCGACGCTATTGCCTTCGTTTCCTCCCCCCCGCGTGCATCCCGCCGTTCTGGGCCGTCTTCCATGTGCTGTTATTGTGCCCAATTGGCCCCATGATCCACTTGAAACACATGCGTGGGAAATTCCGATCGCATGACTAAGCGCCGTGGTTTTGCAATGCCACATTCGCTGCGTTCGATGTTGTTGGCTACGGCTTGCGCAGCCATCTCTGCGACGAACCCCTGGATGTGTAAGTCGGCCCGAGCGTCGGTTCAAGACGCTCCCTGGACTACAGTCGGGGCGTTGACCTAAGGAACCCTAAATAAGGAACGGGGCCCCTTTCTCCCATAAGTTGAACTTCGATTTCCCATGGAAAACCTCAGGAAAACAGAAGGCAAACTGTCGAACAATCAAGGAACACCGAGCCCCTCCCCAACGAAAAGGGTTCCTTCTCCAGGGCCCCGGCTGTAGGCCTGCTTTGCTAGCCTGACCGCTTGGACGGCGCGCGCGTGGGCACGACTCCAAACTGCGGCACTGTCACCGGCCTCAGATGCAAACATGCGGGCGCGCGCGGCAAAAGCGCGCGGGGGCCGCGGCACCGAGCGCTGAGCTGGGGGGAACCCGCTGGAGGAGCTCGGGGCGGAGAAGAGATTGGTCCAGGGGCCCAAGGACACACAAATAAATACACACAAATAACATGATGTCCCATGTTTTTCCATATTTTCTTGGTTTTTGACTTCCCGCCCAATTCCCATATTTTTCAATATTTTCTTGGGAGTCGACGATTAATTGTGTCTGTGTGTTTTTTCCCCTCCTGAATTGGGCACAATTCTCAGTCGAGTGCGACTGCAGCCCAAATGCGTGGCCAAGCTTGCCGGCGGGCCGGTTCCTCTATCCGCCTCGCGCGGTCACCGTGCAACCGGGCCCTGGAAATCAGGAAGAGGCCGCCATCCCGCAAGAACCACTCCTGCAAATAATTCGAGCGCGTCCGTGAAGAGGGCCCGCGCTTCCGCGGCCACTGCTGCCTGCCCTGCGCCTCGGCCACTACGCGGTCGTCACGAATCCCCCCGGCACTGGCGCATTCGAATTGGCCTTGCTCTCCTCCCAGCGCCCTCTTGCCCCCAAGCCCGGGGCGGAGCTGCGGCCGCGTCGCCCCCTTTCGCGCACGCGCCGCCCACGTTGGCGCGGGCCCGCCAACTTCGGCACCGGGGGAGGCGCTGCGTCGCTCCAGGGGCGCCGACGATCTCGGGCAGCCCTCGCGATGCCGCCCGCGCCGCGAATCCCCCCTCGTCGCCCTCGGCACCCCCGGCCTCGGCGACGCCCAGGGCCCCTCTGGAGATCGCGCCGCGACGGCGACGTGCAGGCGCGGGAAAGGCCATGGGCCGCCTCCGCCGCGGCAGCCCGCGGCTGCGCGCGGCGCCGGCCCAGCGCTGCCGCCCCCGCGCCGGGCCCGCCGCCGCCTCCTCCGCCCAAGGGGGTCACGTCGCGGCCCTTCCCGCTGCCGCGCCTG